CCAGGTAGCTTGATAAACATTGCTCAAAGACTCTGACGCTAATAATTATTTCCTAAATATTTAAATAGTTTCAGCAAGTCTGAGTGTTATCATAGTAAGTTTTAAAGTCTTGTTCTACTAACTACCTTTTTCAGAATCATGTGTATATAATAGCCATAATGCATATCCAAAAAACATCTCTAGATACTATTGGTTTACAAGCTCCTTTGGAGCTTCCCAGGTGTAATCTGAAACTGGTCCCAGGACTCAGTGGATGGGGAGAGATGGAAGGAAAGAGTCAAGCCAGGTAGGTAAGCAGTAGGTTTCATGAGTTAAAGGAACTTACGTACGAGACTTTGGCAGCAGTGAAATGATTAGATCTCTGTACCCAGGGTCCAAATCTTAAAAGTTTATCTAAAAGCCTTAACTGGGGTTCAGTCACATATGCCATCCAGATGGTCTCCCCATCACATCATTATCTCAAGGCTGTGTCCCTGGAGCAGCCCCTGGAGTGGAGAAAGCAAGGGGAATCCACAGTCCAAGGACAGCGGAGGGGGTGAGGAGCCTCCAACTGCCCAGGTACAACTAATGGATCAAACCAGTGATCATATTTTTTCTTCTCAGTGATTTTCCCCAACAGATGTAACCTTTGATCTAGATAAGGGCAACCATTATTAACCTCCATTTGCATTCATTTCCTTAGCCACCTTGGAATGTTCTGAAACTCCGAAGTTGTCTTAAACTGTTAAAGAGCAATGGAGTGGCAATAAATCTTATTTGGCAATTTACATATACAAAAAAATCCAAGCAAAAGGAAGTCATTTCAAGAAAAAATAAATTATTTACACATTCTTGAGTGAAATGACAGGTCTCTGCTTTCATTCATAATGGAGAGGATACTTCGCTGTTTTACAGTCTCATGACAGAATTAAATAATAAATCAAGAAATCCTTGCATGAAAAGGTGTACAAAGAGACCAAAAATGGGGAGTTACTTTTGGTGACGTGGTCAATTCAGTGTACTACGTGTATGAATTATAATCATACACTTCTACAAATGAGTCATTGCGGAGTATTCATTCAGTGAGTGTGTAAAATACTGACCAATGCTATCAACTTTTTTTTCTTTTTTGATAGCCTTAACTCTGTAGCTAAAGCTAATTGATGAATAAGCAAAAATGAATAAAACAAAGACTTCAGATATATTAATTATCATCTGTACTAATATTCCTTTGAACTACAACCCACTATTCATTGTTTCTTAAGAGAAAAGGCAGTGACATGAAATGGTGAGAACATCATGCCATGTGAAAAGAAAGTTCTCTTTCTAGCTTGTTGCTAGCGGGGTGGACTTGAGCAAGTTATAACTACTCCTTTAACTTTCTTTTCTCCATTTATGAAATGATCAGATTGAAGAATATGTCCCTTAAGGTCCATTCTGGAACTAAATGATCATGCAAATTTAAGTTAAAAAGTTTTCTTTAAAAAAAAAAAAGTTTTCTTAAAGTTGTTTTGATTACAATTCTCACAGGATAATTTTTTTCTGAAAAGTTAAAAGTCAAGCACTCTGGTTCATCATGCCAAAGAAGCTTTGAAAGTTGCCATCAGTTTACATAAACCTGATACATAGATAACATTAAAAGTAAAATATAAATGTACACATTACTCTAAAGTTCATTCTGTGCAGAAGTCAAATTCTGTTGTCACATCAACAAACACATTCAAGACTAATACTGCATTTCAAAGGACAGAATTACTTAATAAATAACAGTGCCCAACATTATATTCTTTCTGTGAATACAAATTAAAGAATAACACTATCCAATGCTATCAGGTCTCTGTGAATACAAAGTAAGGAGTTAGCCTGGCTGTTTGAATATGGATTCAGATAATAGATTACTGACCACTCCCTTATGAACTAAGTTCTGGGTATTTATCACACATCATTTTGAGAAGCTTCAATGCATTCTACAGCTGGAGAATTTGGAAATGAATTTGAATCAGGATAAACTAATATATTTTTGCCTAGAGAAAATGAAAAAGGCTGTACAGTACCCTGCGTTAGTAGATTGGCTGGCTTTGGTGGTTTATTTAGCCTGATGAAAGACAAAGGGGTGCAGAATGCTGGCCAAATCCGAACCCATTCATGGGACTACCATGTGCTGTAGCCCCCTCTCTGAGAAATTCAGGTTTAATGTCCGAATTCCCAATCTGTGAGACACGTATCTCTCATGGAACTTGAGTAGATCTAGGTGTGTGGGATCCAGAAATTGCATCATAAGAAAATTATTCTTCCCGGAACAAAAAGAATCCATCTGGTGCCAGCATGTTTGTCACACCTCTCTCACTTCCGCATCTTGTCTGTAACTGAGACAAAGTCAACCTTGAGAGTCAATGCCTTTTGCAAACAAGCAGCATCTAGCTATAATTTAATATCACTTATTTGGTTCCTGTTCTTACAGTAACCTATTTTTGCCTAGTAATACCAGATTTTTTAGTTTGGTAGTAACACAAATTACTTTTTAAATGAACTTATTTAGGGCTAGAGGTATGTTGATTTCAAGAAAGCTTTTCAGGGGTACCTGGGTGGCTCAGGCGGTTAAAGTGTCCGACTTCAGCTCAGGTCCTGATCCTGTGGTTTGTGAGTTCAAGTGCCGCACTGGGCTCTGTGCTGAGAGCTAAGAGCCTGGAGCCTGCTTCCAATTCTCTGCCTCCGTCTCTCTCTGCCCCGCTCCCACTCATGCTCTCTCTTTTTCTCAAAAATAGATATTAAAAAATTTTTTTTAAAGAAGGCTTTTCAGTAAATAAAAAAAATTACGTGGCTGGCAAAAATTTCTCAGGTGAAATGCAGGTGATTGAGGCTCGGGAAACACTGGGCTAGTGAGAATCACACTAGCTGGAGGATAGGAAACTGGTTGCTGAATCTAATTCCAACCCTGTCACTAATTATCAGATTGTCCTTGGGCAAGATGATGAATCTTCACGGCTCTGTTTCTTCATTATCCGATGAATATAATGATATTTGCCAAGCTACCTTTGGAGTGATAATATAAAGATTAAAATTAAATGATGGGTAGTGAAATAGTTTAAATGGTGTATATGCATAAGATTCTTTATTAATGTATTTTTTTGTCTTTTGTCTTTTTTTTTCTTTCCACAACCCCAGCAAAACAAACATGCAAATAAACAAACAACAATAACAAAAAAACCATAATCATGATCATTTAGGAAAGGATAACAGATAATATCATCCTATTTCTCTCTAAGATCATGCTATTTTTTAGTGTGTGTGTGTGTGTGTGTGTGTGTGTGTGTGTGTGTGTGTGTTAGAGAGAGAGAGGAGGAGAGAGAGACTCACTATAGTTGCATAGTTTCTGCATTGACACTATTCCGAAATACTAAAGCTGTGTTTTCTTTTTCTGAAAAGAAAATGTATTTTCCATTTTCCATGGTGGTACAAAAGCTTGGAAACTAAACTATGTATAGAAAATTAATGTAATGATTGAGCTTATTAATAAGAAAGCATAATAAAAATATTATGACCTATCTGGATGTCTAGAGCTGTTAGAAACAGTGGTTCAGGTGGCTCAGTGAGTTGAACGTCTAACTCGTGATTTCGGCTCAGGTCCTGATCCCAGGGCCATGGGAATGATCACCACATCAGCTCCATGCTGAACAGGGAGCACGCTTAAGATTCTCTCTCTCTCCCTCTGCCCCTCTCCCCTACTTGAACTCTCTCTGTTTCTCAAATAAAACAAAAAACTAAACTAACAACAATAGTGTTTTTATACCAAAAGGTGTTTTTTTGACTTGAAATAATATTTGGAATCTTGCTCATTGTATTTTTTCATCATCCCTAGAACCTCACATATTCTACAGAAGATTTATCTTCACAAAAGATGTTTTACTATTATTACATAATGTTATTTCCTATAGATTTCAGATTTTTTTCCAAACAAATCTCACTTATCCTTGAAGTTAAGGTTGTTGTTTTGGTTAAAATATAACGGTGCAGTTAAATATATGATATATTTTTATATTAATCATTATAATATGGCAGGTGTATGTCGTTTTATCTTGAAATGTGTATACAACTAAGTTCCAACATTAATTCATTGTGTGACATAGGGAATGTCCATACACACAGAGAAAGTGCTAGCAATTGTTTGGGTTCTCATTCTATTAAGGAAACTTACTGCTGTTGGATTAGAAAAGGATAGACATCATTATCTCGTTCATGCATAAATATTTGCGTATGGTGTAGAATAGCCTTTTCCAAACTTGAGCATCATCAGAATCACCTGGGGGGCTTGTCAAAACACAGATGGCTTGCCCCACCCTCAAAGTTAAGTAGCTCTGGGGTAAGCCCTGAGAACTTGCATTTTTAGCAAATTCCACAATGATGCTGAAGCTGATGTGATAACCCTCCTCCCCCAGCCATTGGTCTAGTGGAAGGCAGCTGGACAGTGAGGCTTATGGAGCTTGGTGATAGCCCCAGATTTCAGCCCTGGCTTTTGATACGTATGAGCTGTGTAACTTGGACAAGTTAGAGATCAATTTTGTCTTCTGTAAAATGGTAACAATCATATTTATTGGGGATATTGAATCAAAGAATGCATAGTAACTGTGTATAACAGTGCTTAGCCCCATTATAAGCATTCACTGAATGCAACATTAGTAACTAGTGGAGATGGTAACTGAGGCAGTTGTAGTAAAAGTGGTAGTTAGTGGTAATCAAAAAGAATACACATTTCCTTACTTCATTTGCAATAAAACTTTATTGTTCTTTTCTAAGAAGGCTGAACAGAAAGCTTGGTTTTCATTTATGACATTGTTTCTATAAGAAACACTCCACAGAATGGGAATTCATGGAAAAGAGGTCGTACCCTTAGAAAAAGAACATTCAAGAGTGTGTTGGAGATTGGAATCTATATTGCAGTTCAAGCAAAAGTTTATCCATTTGTGGAATAAGTGTTTTTCAGTATTCAGAATTCATGCATTTGTTTCTTTCCTTTCCCTTAGCAACAAGAGCAAGACCCAACAAACCTATACATCTCAAACCTCCCCATTTCTATGGATGAGCAGGAACTTGAGAATATGCTGAAACCCTTTGGACATGTCATTTCTACAAGAATACTAAGAGATGCTAATGGAGTCAGCAGAGGCGTTGGCTTTGCCAGGTAAAACACTTGTTACATACATGTACTACTTGTCTTTCCTCATGATTCACTTTTAAGTCCATTTCTCTCTAGCACCAGGGCCCAAGGCAATAGAATATTTAACCCCTCCCCCAAAAAAGTAGTTTTTCAAACCGACTTTGTATCTTGGCTTCAATCCAAAGAATTCCCATGTAATTATAAATATGTTGTGCTTGCTGAAATGTGTACATAGAATGGTTATTTGTGTCTCGGGTCATAATGATATGCATACCCAGTTCCCAGTTCTCTCTATGCCTGTAGATTAGCAAAATCAGATGCTGCCAATTTCTGCTCGTGGTAATAAATGCCCAGTACCCCAAAGCTAAAGAGCCCATGTGGTGAACAAAGCATCCAAATGTTTTTGCATTGATTTCCAAAGAAATAGACGGTAGAATTTCTCAGTCAAGAGATGGATGAGAAGAAAGAATTTGAGAGACAGGAATTGTTGGGAAGTCCCAAGGAACCCAGAAAAATATGGGGGGTGGTTAGAGGGCATCTGCATTTAAGAGGCTCTTGCTGTGTGGCTTTGATGTTTTACACAGAACAGAAAAAAAGCAAATTGTACTTTCTTCATTGTCAGAAAAGAAAAAGTAGTTTTCATCTTAACTTTAAGGGAATGTTTACAAAAGAAGATCTCAGCCAGGAATAGAGTTAAAATGGTTGTACCTGCTGTGCTTTCATGAAAAACAAAGCTTAAAGAAACCACAGAGAGAAAGAAACTGCTCAACAACAAAGAACGAGAGTAAAAGCTGTGTCTCCATGGCTTGGTGTGTTTATGGGTCTCCAGCTGACTTAACATGGATGAGTGGATGGATGTTCGTGTCATCTGGAAGTCAGCCCATTACAGACAGGTGTGTCCCCTTATCATGAACCCGGCCATTATGTGGAACACCATTCCAAACTGACTTTTATTAACCCACTTTGAAAGATAACAAATTGTAAGATAAATATGAACCAATCTCGAACTTGACTTCTAGAAGTCATGGACCACGTCTTAAAATCCTGATTCCCCCACCATGTTCTAGTAGACTGGGTAGGTATATACAAGATGCATGATGATTTGAAGATAAATAAGCAGCGCGAAGAAAATCTCCTTGACTTGAATGTATGCTTGAGGCATTCACTTTTTTCAGATCATTGGTAACTGTTCCTTTGCATCCCTTAGGCTGAGCTAATCATATCACCCAGGGCTATGAATTTTGCCAGTATAATGACTGTTGGATAGTGTATAAGCTGCCGTTGGAGGGCTGGCCAGTGTGGGAATTCCCTGAAATGCCACACATCCTTTTGGTTCTTCTTCTACTTCTCCTCCCCTAGAAAACTCTCTCTAACAAATTAGTTTTTCCTTCATGTGTACTCCTGTTGAGAAATAACATATTTCAACTTTATCAAGAGAAACATTTTCTAAGATCTATGGTGATTTTTTTTTTAACACAGGGTTTTTGGTATAGAGTATATTCATTTGCAAGGGCTGCCATAACAGGATACAAAAGACTGGGTGGCTTAAACAACAAAAATTATTTTCTCACAGTTCTGGAAGCCAGAAGTCTAAGATCATAGTGCCGGTAGGTTTTGTTTCTTCTGAGGCCTCTTGCCTTGTCTTGTAGATGACCTTGTCTTCCCCATATCTTCACACAGTCTTCCTTGTGTGTCTGCATCTTAATCTCCTCTTTTTAAAAGGACATCAGTCAAATTGGATGAGGACCCATCCTTATGAGGTCCTATCTCCATATACAGTCACATTATGAGGTATTGGGGGCTAGGACTTTGACATAGCAATTGGTTGAGGGAGAGGCACAGTTCAGCTTATAACACAGAGATTGGGCTGATCATTTCCCTCACTTTTGTCTTCTCTATATGCTTTCACTTTCCTTAAAATGAAGAATATTCATCTTAGTGCAGAACCAAGTAATGTACATTGTAAGAGGCAAACCTATAATCATAGTATATGGAGTCATGAATGAATAAAACCTGTAAAGTTTTTGTTTCCTTTAGGAACTGAGGAAAAGTGGGAAATTAAATTATTCTTTTATGGCTGCTTCGAAGGCAGCCTCTCTCTTTTGGTGCATTTTCATAGAGAAGCTATAAATGATTCTTTAAAATACAGATATGAACATGTCGGGGGCCTCCATATGGCCCGAGTGATTGGATTGACCAGCCTTGCCAACATCATCCCTGACATCATTACCCCTGACATCACTCACCTTCCTGGCCCTCTGTCTTCCTGCCCTGTGTCCGGGGCACAGGAAGCCCTTCTTGACTGTTGCACTGGTCATGACTCTTACCCTGGCTTCTGCCTACTTATCCTTCAGATACTGGCTTAAATGTCTTTTCTTGAAAGAACGCTTTACTGACCTCTAACTCCAGCCTTCAAAGTTAGGTGGTCATGTTACAGCTCCTGTCAATGTTATGTTCCAGATAAAATTTATCAAAACCATAATAAATTCACTATTTAGTTTGTGTCTTCACCCACTGGATTCTATATTTGCATAAATCATATTTCCTTTCACTGTTGGAAGGATGGATGGGTGGATGGTAGTTAGCATAATTCCCTTTCTATGGAGTTCCTGAATGACTAAACTCTAAGCGGTGGTATTTTCAAACTTTGAGCTTTGAATATGAATTATCAGTCACATTGTAAACTGAGACTTGGGTCTCCATACTCTAAATCATGGTATTTTCCAGTTTCAGAAAGTTAGCACATGGGTGGAAAAGGAAAACATAGGTTCAAATCAAGGCAGTTATTTCATATTCCTAAGAGATCAAAAGAAAATATGACCCTGTCTCTTTTGTAAGAAGCCAGAAAACTGATGAAGAATCAGTATTTCATTCTCCATGTGTCTTAGACTTGAGATTCCAAGGAGCAGGATCCCACATAATGTATCTAATTTGATGACGTGAGGATATAATTTTGGCTATATCAAATATAAGCGAGTCTGCCCAAATTCCTCTTTCCTCAAAATTGGACATTTGCTCTGCATTTTCTCAAACACTGTGGCAACCGCCTTAATAAGCACGATCATTCACAAATTAACCCTTGCACAAGTTTTCCTTCTTTTCATTTATTTATTTATTGATTTTTAGTATAATTTTCTTTTAATTTTAGGGAGAGCATGAGTTGGGGAAAGGGGCAGAGGGAGAGAAAGAGAATCTTAATCTTAATATCCATGCTAAGCATGGAACCCAACTTGGGGCTTTATCTCCCAGTTGTGAGAACATGACCTGAGCCAAAATCAAGAGTAGGACACTTTACTGACTAAGCGACCCAGGCACCCTGCCTCCTTTTTAAATAACCCTCTTTTTCTGGCCACCCATTTCTCATTTAGAGCTCTTTTTCTGAACCACAACACAGAGATGACTTGAGTGACTGTTTTCTCATTTATTCCCAGGATAGTGCACAGTTAGTTGATTATGTGTAATGGATAAGTGTAGTCTCCAGGACAAAAACCTCAGCGTTGCTTGGGAAATTGTTAGAAATGCAATTTGGGGGCCCTATCCCAGATCTACTGAATCAGCAATGATCAGGGCTGGATGGGGTATCACAATCTTTGTTTTGTTTTTTAATTTTTTTAATGTTTATTTCTTTTTGAGAGACAGAGAGAAACAGAGCATGGGCAGGGAGGGGCAGAGAAAGAGAGATACACAGAATCTGAAGCAGGCTCCAGGCTCTGGGCTGTCAGCACAGAGCCCGATGTAAGACTCGAACCCATGAACCATGAGATCATGACCTGAGCCAAAGTGGAACACTCAACTGACTGAGACGCCCAGGTGCCCCAATGTTTTAACAAGCACTTTAGGTGACTCTCATGCTCTCTAAACTTTGAGAAACATTACCTCAGAATGTTAGGACTGGTTCTTTTTTTTTTTTTTTAATTTTTTTTAACATTTATTCATTTATGAGAGAGTGTGTGTAAGTGGGGGAGGGGCAGAGCGAGAGAGATACACAGAATCTGAAGCAGGCTCCAGGCTCTGGGCTGTCAGCACAGAGCCTGACGCGGGGCTCGAACCCACGAACCGTTAGATCATGACCTAAGCGAAAGTTGGACGCTTAACCTACTAAGCCACCCAGGCACCCCTGTTAGGACTGGTTCTTAAATCATCTGGAAGGCCTGCAAAATCTCAAATTGCTGGACTTCATTCTTAGAAATGTTTCTCGATGGAGCTGATTCCTGTTGATACCTCCATCACACTGCAGCACTTTCTCTCATGCATGAGTCATGAATCCATCTTCCTTCCTGTTCTTCAAGTGTAGGACCATGTCATGGTCTTCTTCCTGTCTGTCCCAGCACCTAGAATGTTGTCTGACACACAACTGATCTTCAGTACATTTTTGATGATGAACAGAAGAAATCACTTCAAGTGTTTCGGTTTTGTTTTTTGTTTGTGTTTGACTATAATGGTTTGCAGGGAGGATCATTTGATGATAATAAGCCAATTCTGAGATGGGTGTCCTGGAATTTTAGAGGAAACTACAGTCAAGTTAGCTCAACTGTTATTGATTTACAAATTGTTTCTTCCTCTAAAAGTTCATAGTGCCGCAGGCACCATTAAAAAAGAATGCTTATTTGATTGGGAGAATGGTCGGCCTTTAATTGTACCTGGTAAATCATATGTATCTCTTGAATTTATTACTCTCTCAATTCACATAACCTGAATACATTTTTCGGAAGGCTTCATTTTGAATATTACCATTGGTCACTTCTAACCCCGGATGTGGTCCTTGATTCATGTGCAAGAGATCCTAAAATTCTTTAACTAGAAAGAACCTCCCCCCATTATTATTTTACTTGCAAGCTATACATTAATCTGCTTTGATAACCATCTCTTCAAAGTAACGGTAGTATCTTCATTTTATATTTAAAACACTGAACTTCAAAGCATAGATTTGAATGCCAGTAGGGTGCACAGACAGCACAATTATAGCCTTTTCAAAGTTCCAGAAGCATGAGCTATATGTCACATTACAGACATTTTATTTTATT